GCTCTATGTTTATATTCTCCACCTTCTCCCCCCTTTCCATTAAGTTATGTGGTCACTCTAAATTGTAACTACATAGATAGTTGCCACTTCCCAGCTTGGAAATAGTGCTACTACCAGTCATTGTTTAAGGGCTATTGTGTTTAGCCAGGATGTCCTGGGGAAAGACAGTTCTCAGAGTTGATATTAAGTAATGTCAGAAATCCCAATCCCAAAGAAGGGCAGTGCCAAAGAATGCTCCAGCTACCGTACAATTGCACTCATTTCACACACTAGGAAGGTTATGCTCAAAATCCTCCAAGGCAGGCTTCAGCAGTATGTGGACCGAGAACTCCGAGAATACAAGCTGGATTTCGAAGGGGCAGAGGAACTAGAGGCCAAATTGCTAACATGCGCTGGATTATGGACAAAGCCAGAGAGTTCCAGAAAAAAATCTACTTCTGCTTCATTGACTATGCAAAAGCCTTTGACTGTGTGGACCACAGCAAACTATGGCAAGCCCTTAAAAGAAGCAGTTTTACTTTCCAGAAACAGGCAATTTGTACAAAATAATTTTTGTACAAGTACTAAGGGAAAAGAAAATTATTAATTATAAATTCTTTTCAGGATGGAGAGTGTGATAAAGTTCTTAACAGCAAACTTAAAGTCCATATAATGTCAGAAGTTTATTAACCTGTCATTACTGTTATCTTACTTCACGGATACTTTGTATCAGTACACTGGAAAAACTTTTCCTTTCATATAGGAAATATGATGGAATATTTGGTTTTCTACATAAATTACCTCCATTATCTATTTGTGATTAGACACCTGACAGGAAGCTTTTTAATATTTCTTTTTTGAATAATTGTAATGTTGTTTAAAATGAATTTCTTATTTATTTTATTTATTTATTTATTCAATTTATATGCCGCCCACACTACCCAGAGGTCTCTGGGCGGCTTCTTACTAGTTTTCCTGTTTCCCTTCAGTTGCTAATCACATTCAGTGATATTTCTTGTAAACGTTTTTATTTAAATTACTATGATTGCTAGAAGTTTCTATTTAGGATTTAAAACATCTTAGTGCACTGTGTAAGGGATGTGGTGGTGCTGCAGATTAAACTGCAGATGCCTCTGTGCTGCGAGGTCAGAAGACCTGCAGTCATAAGATCGAGTCCATGTGACGGAGTGATCGCCCGTTGCTTGTCCCAGCTCTCGCCAGCCTAGTAGTTCGAAAGCATGCAAATACAAGTAGATAAATAGGTACCACCTCGGTGCAAAGGTAACGGTGTTCCGTATCTAGTCGTGCTGGCTACGTGACCATGGGATATTGTCTTCGGACAAAATGCTAGCTCTATGGGTTGGAAACGGAGATGACCTCCGCCCCCTAGAGTCGGACATGAGTTGACAAATTGTCAAGGGGAACCTTTACCTAGTGCACTGTGTGATTTGTTGTCTTAATATATGTGGAACAATATCTGCATGCTAGATTCTGAATGTTTAAATATCAATCCAGTAATTTTTTATTTATTTATGGAAAAACATGCACTTTACAATACTTATTCTTGTTTACTGATTAACTGTATGCATATCTACTACACATCCCATCTCTGAAAATTTGTAAAATGAGCTGTTACAAGAATGTTAATGTTTCTTTCCCAAATGCTTATAGTCCCATGTGAACCTACCTTCTTAGGGAGCACTGTTTCAGTGAAACTGCAATAATGATATCTGTTTTAACCATCTGAGAATAGAACTGAATCCAATGAAATGATAGGGGACTGAGACTGGATTTACTTCTCAAAATTTAGGGACACTAGCCACTGAGGGTTAAGGAAACAGAACTGGTTGGGATTCTGCAGCTAAGGAAAGTGTTAACTCTTTCCAGTCACCATTTCCAAAGTGAAACCATATGCACTCCACCACAGAGCAGTTCTTTGCACTGCTAGCGAAACACCAACTGTGCTGTTTTTAATAACAGGGCAAATGATGGCTTGAGGAAGAAGTGTATAGCAGGAGGAAGGATTTTCATTCAGATCACGTATCTCCCCATTCTTCACAAGTCAGCCAACATTCAAAGATCAAGAAAATTCAACCACAGATCTTCATTATCTTGTCCAGTATTTTCATAGTTCTGAATGATTAGGGGGCTTTATTCCACCAGATCAGCGTTTGTGTAATTGTCTTCGGAAACTGTTGCTTGGGGTAAATGTTCTTATGTAAGAGAGTCAAGTTTGCTTTTCTCGTTATTCGTAAGACTTCTTCAGAAAGAATTACCCAATCTCTTTTGTCACATAGTTTAATATTCATGGGTGCTGAAACTCCAAGTTGTTGTGCACTCAGTTTTTACACATGCTTGTTTTAAGGTATTAGCAGTGCTGAAGAGGGTCTCATGTTATGTAAAAACTGGAGACGGCAGGCTTTAGAAAATAAGAGCTGACTGAGGTTTATCATCTCTCTGCCTAGGTGCTGTTCTGAAGACATGTACAGATGTCCTGAGCAATTAAGCACCAAAGATTTTCCAGCTACTAGTTTGATAATTGCCATCTTGTTCCATATTTATTATTTTAATAGGTCACATAAATAGCCCCATGATGGGATTTCAGAGCTGTTTCATAACCTGTGAAGGTGTTGTCTGATAGATGTACAGTTCTTCTTTTTCTCCCACAGCTGTGAACTTCAAAGAAGTTAATGAAGAAAACAAGCGAGAAGTTTTAAGTGAGATATTCTCTTCTATTGACACACTGGCATTCACCTTTGGCAACATGTAAGTAAAATAAATTTAACAGTGCACTTCCTTTCCAGAGAAACTCTAGTCTCACCTTATCTGAACCACTGCTGCCACCTGATGCTTCTGTATTTCATCCCTACTGTTCACTTGTTGGTCTGTAATCTTCTTTACCCTTGCCAATCCTGTTTGAGGCCACTTAATATATGGGATGATCTTATGGTATTGTGAAAGGAATGGGAACTTAAAATGCTCTTTGTCTGGAAAACTGCTTCTTTTCACTTATTTCTGATTAGCTATTTCTTGAAACAGTATCATAGTTTACCTATTTGCTTCAGCAGTTAGATAAGCGTTCTGTCCTTTTCCCTCAGACTACGTTACGGAGAACCTGTGTTTTTCCCATCTAAAGGGGAAGGCAGGTTTCGTTGGCTCAGCTATCTGTGAACGACATATAAGAATAACTAAATTTTTAGAGTTCTTAAGATTAGTAGCAAAATATCAGTGAAGTAAAGAATAGATGCAGATCTTATCTTTTTCATTCAGAGTCCTCCTAAAGTTGGAACTGAACCATTAAAAAGCACGCATTAACTTTCCTTTTCTAACTGTGTCAGAGTTTCAGACTTCCTTATGGGAGATGTGGACAATGGCTCAGCACTTGGTCTTCCCATATCTCGTCCAAGCCAGGTAGGATGAACATGCTGTTTAATTTTTTAAAAAATATGTTTTGTTTTAAAATATATTGTTATCAAAAATAATAACACTTTTCAAAATACCCAGAAGGATATTTAAGCTTGAAAATTAAGCTGTAGAAATAAGCAGTTGCAGTAATGATGACTGTTCTTATGGGTGTGCTCTTTCAAATTTTTGAACTACAGCTCACAGAACTCTAGAGGAATTCCCTAGGCAGAATTCTTGCATCCCAGAAGCACAAATCTGCAGACCTTGGATTTTGCTCCCCAGAAAAGGGCTTTGAAATTATTGGCTTTGACGTTATTTAGCTTCAGCTGTTGTGCTCTCGTTGGTTCCTCCAGTGTTTGTCTTCTATTGTTAATTTTGTTAAAAAAGAAAGCTGCCACTGAGCTTCTTGAGAGTCAGGTGGCAACCCTGTATATGGCCTAATGAGTAACAATACTACAAATCCTAGTGTCCTCCGCATCAAGAGGGGATGGTCCCAACCAGTTGGTCAACCATCATGAAGAACTACAACTCTAAGAAGCACCATATTGTACTGGAAAGGCTGAGCTAATGCAGCATTTCCTAAGTTGGTGATCCACAATACTTTGAAGTATAACTCCCATGAGACCTAGCAAATGTGGTCAATAATCTTTTACAATGGGAGATGTAATTCAGAACACCTGAGTCCAAAAAGTTAAGGAAGCCTGAATTCATGCATAGCATATACATACTATACTTTATGAGAATCAACCTAGGTAAAAACTCAACCAACTTAGCTTCTTTTCAGGAATGTTTTTTTGTTTTGTTTTATGCCACATTAGCAGACTGGTGCTCAGACCATTGATATCAAATAAGAACCTGCAAATTAGTTGACATATCAAGCTGTGTTTGTAGAAAGAGATTTTCATATTCATGCATAGCATATACGTACTATACTTTATGAGAATCAACCTAGGTAAAAACTCAACCAACTTAGCTTCTTTTCAGGAATGTTTTTTTGTTTTGTTTTATGCCACATTAGCAGACTGGTGCTCAGACCATTGATATCAAATAAGAACCTGCAAATTAGTTGACATATCAAGCTGTGTTTGTAGAAAGAGATTTTCATTATAAAATGGATGTTTATCTGCAAAATCTGTTTCTGCTTTGACTACTTTAGCAGTGCTTGGTAGATGATCTATAATGACATCATCTTAATGCTGTATATATTCAGTTCTTGTTATTAAAAATGATTCTACTAGCATCTAAAAATGATTCCATTAGGATCTAAAATCTAGTACATACAGAAGGGTAGTAAACTTCTTTTGCATATTTTTACCAACAGGAGACATATGTGCACATCTTACTGAACTTGGTGGAATTTAGACATGTCTAACTTGGGCTGGTTTGTGTCCGAGATGTATGATGAGCTAAGATATTCTCTGAAATCAAAATGTTACTCTTGTATCACCTGTTTATACAATAGGAAGTTCTGCGGTTTGTGTAACTGACTTCCAATCAGTGTTAAGATACTGGAGTGATGTTTATTTTGGAGTTTTATTTATTTTACATGCTAATCAACTGTTCAAGGTTGTGAGGAAAGTGATTGGACTTGCATTCTATACCTTAGAAGAAGTTAAAATGTTTAAATGTGTGGGACATTAGTTGCTGTACTCAGAAAACTTAGCAGAAACTGGTATTGCTTGATTAACTTCTAAAACAGGTGCCTGGAGCCTGTTTTGAGATGGATGGCAAACAAGCTGAATCCAGATAAGACAATAATGCTGTGGGTGAGGAAGTCACTCTAGAATTACATAATCTAGCTACTCTGTATGGAGGTGTGAATGAGGTGTTTGATGAGCTTGTACTCCCCTTGAAGAACCAAGAATGCACATTGTGGGTTCTCCTGGTTTAGGTACTGAAGGTACACAAGTGACATGGGTCACCATCCCTTGAAGAACCAAGAATGTACATTGTGGGTTCTCCTGGTTTAGGTACTATCTGAAGGTACACAAGTGACATGGGTCACCAGTACTGACTTTTATCAGCTTTTCCCATTTCACTAGCTTCATCCACTTGTAGAGAAAGTGGATGTAGCTACAGTTGTCAGCGCTCTGATAATGTCTCAACTGTACTACTGTGAGGAACTTGTACATGTGGCTGTTTTTAAGATAGTTCAAAAGCATCATATAGTGCAGAGTAGCAAGTTGCTTATGCAGGCTAGGTTATCAGACCAAGTGAGATTGTCTGCATACTGTACTTGCTGCACTTATTTGCCACTGTGTATTTCCTGGACCAGTTTAAAGTGCTGGTGATCACCTTTAAAGCCTTAAATGGCTTGGAACTATGTTGTCTGAAGGATTAACAGTGTTTGTTTCAACCTGTCCAGGCCCTAGATCTAACACAGGCCTCTTCTGCAGTAGATCCATCTTCGTAGAATGCCCTGAATAGTAATGACGAAACACTGTCAATTCCCCTTTCAGTGACCCTTTCCAGGTTTTCTAGGGAAAAAGTATTCAGATATGGTTTGCCTTCTCCTTTGCTTGGATGACACAGCTAGCCCAAGGCTAAACAGGCTGACTTTTCCCAGGAGGCACATTTGGGAATTGAACTACTGACCTCTAGCTCCTTTTTACATGTGCCTTAAAGACCTGGATTTTCCTGTTAATATTTTGAAGAATTTAATTAATAACAAAGTTATTAAGTATTCACAAGGTTTTCAAATCATAGTTTGTAATCAAATTACTTTTAACGTGGGTTGTCTTGTTTTAAGATACACTAGTTGTGTTGATTTCACTAGGAATGTAGCTACTGATTGGAGTACAGTCTGAATTATTAAAGCAGTTAATTTGCTAGGGTATTCTCCTGATCACAGGTTCCTTGTCATGTGTTTTCTGGCAAAGATGGTATGCACTTCTGCGCTATTTTTCTTCTTCCCTCTTGAAGTAAGAATGGCTTTTTAGAATATTTAAGGCTCTTGAGATTCGTTGTTGTTTGTCATTTTAAAAATGCATGTTGCATTTGTCACGTTACTATATCTGAAGCAGAGGAGACCAGTCCCAGGAGGAGCAGGAGGTGAACAGTGGTGTGCAGACCAAAAATGAGAAAAAGGCAATGCTACCTTTCTTTGTCTTTATGCTACCCACATTCTCTCTTCTTCCTCATCTAGCAGACTTTTGGGAATGAAAGAGTTTGCTCTTGGAGACCTGAGATAATTATTTGCAGAGTAATAGTGAAATTAGTCCTTGGAGCCATGTGCGGTTTTAACTCCACAGGTTCCCATTCGTGAATAAGAGCATAAAAGCATGCTTATATAACAGTGTTTTATAGAGGATCCGAGGAAGTGTAAAAAGGGAACCAACTAGATATAATGAGGTAATAAATTCTACAAAGTGGGATCGAATCTCTACATTAATATGAAAGAAAGACAAAACATAGAGGCTCCTATTTTTGTTTTCATGTTCTCTCATTGATTTCTGAAAAAGAGCTCCTTAAACACAAATGATTCATATTAATGAAAGAGGACTACACAAAATTCATGTTTTTTCGTGGTTCCCTTTTTCATTAAATGTTTCTTTCATTCTTTGTCTGACAAATTGCTTGGGAAATTTGTCAGCCAATAGTGTCATGAGGGCTACTGTCAGCAGCCAGCTGGAACATCCCTGAGGGGTGATGAAGGAAATGTCTCATTACATCTAGTACGTTCCTTGTAGTAGGGAATGGGCTGGTTGGAGACCATTGAATAATTTTCTTGTCTTTGCTGTAGTCATTCCATGTGGGTGGCATCTATGTGCTGGTAAGGTCCTGCCTCCTGCTGCCTTCCATTTTGTTCTGCCTGTGCTTGCCTGCTAGCCTGGGCCTTCATCTTGGATCCTGTTGGCCTTCTTTCATAAATTTTTGTAGGATTATGTCCTCATTTCTTTTCATATTGTATGTGTGGGATTTTTGGGGGGGCTGTTTGCTTCTATGGAGGGATGTGGGTCAGGGGTGGAGTTTGTCACTTTGCCAAAGCCAAGTTGCTATTGGGTAGTGTGGGTGCTTGTACAAGTCTTGATTATTCTTTTTCTTTGTTGTATACGCTTGTCCACTTTTGGAGTAGATATTGATTGATTCTCTATTTCTTGTCTTGCCCCTGCTTTTTTTCAAGCAATTTTAAAGAACTGTTTAGGAATTATGGAAGATGCAGTTGTTGAAAGAACCTAAAACCAAACAAAAATGGGAGTTTTTAATATGCACATCCCTACTAAATATCCACTGTAACACTTTCATGATGGAATAGAGAGCATAGAGCCTATAATGAAGATCTAACAGTGTGCAGTTGGTTTGAGGGAAGAAGGTTTTCTGTAAAATATTAAGATTCCAAATTGATTATGGTGTTAAGAGTTCAAAAATAAAAGTTGGAAATATGCTCAGTAAAAGATAAACAACCAATGACTATGGTATGATGAAAATACTGTGATGAGAACAGCAGGCCATACTCACTTTCTGGGGTACCATTTTGTACCAGAGGAAATCTCTGAACACTTTTCAAATCAGTCTCCTGTATGGAGGATATTCTAGTAATGTAATCTGGATCCGGTCCAGGCCTGTCTACTGTTGATAAGTTGCTTATCAAATAAACTGATGATTTGAATGACAGCTACAACTGATCTGCCAGCAGATTATATGTATACACACTCCTAGTCTCAGCTGTCACCTGAGCATCTTGGAAGAGTGTTTTACTATAAGCTGCAAATACGAATTCTGAAAAGACATAGTGGGTAAAATCCTCTTGCATATCATAGTAAGTTGCACCAGAATAAGTGCATTGAATCAATAGTGATTTGCTGTAATTCACCTGTAAATTCCATTGATTCAAATGGACCTATTCTAATGCAACTTTCTATGCTAAGCAACAGAATTTTGATCACTAAATCCCATTCAAAATAAGTTGTTCACCTAACAGTGATTTGACTAATCGCCTGACCAACAATACCTATGTACATCTTACATGAACTGAATTTTAGTTTCTTACCTCTGATGAGTGTTGTAGTGATAAGTTTTGAAGTAAAGGTACTCAGCACAATATTTGCTATTATGTTGATCCATAGCAACAACTGGACCGAAAGTTGTGTGGTTCCATAGTTACAAACCAGTTATACCAGTTTTCTTCTCCGTTAGTAGGTCTTTTTTAAAGGTAATGAGTCAACTGCCCATTCAAAATCAAGACACTTCAAAATATTTTGCATTAAAATTGGGATACTTTAAAGCATTGGTTCCCAACATTGGGTGTCCATATGTTCTGAGACTCCAACTCCCAGAAATCCTGGCCAGCACAGCTAGTGATGAACACTTTTGAGACTTTTAGTCCAAGAACATATGGGGAACCAAGATTGGGAACCACTGATTTAGAGCAATATGCTGTTGCTGGGGAAGTCTCTTCTCCACTTCCAGATACTATGAGGATACTACCTAAGCTTAAAGAAGCAGGGAAGTCAAGGAGAGCAGCAGATTATATCATCTGGGTGGCCCTGCACTACAAGTTTCGTAGAAACAGAGCAGCTGTAGAAGTGTGCATGCCATGTAAACTGAAAGAGGTCTATAAGAAAGGATATAAGGGCTGGTTTAAGGGGAATTGTCCCGCAGCCACTCTTTTTTTTAAATGCACTGACATTGTTTCAGGAGATGTGTTTTGAAATTATATCCTATTCTGCATGCTCTGTGTTGATCCTTGAAATTAGAAATGTTGCCCAACTGCACTCAGCTGTATTCATTTACTTTCACATGGTAGAAACTTCAGGCCTGTGGTAGTGCTGTATATTTTAAGCAATTTTCACTGAATGTTACCTTTAGATGAGCACAATGATATCATTTGAAAGTAACTTACATCTAGGCCTTTATGTGGTGCTGGCAACCTGAGCACTACAGAGGTATCTGTGGTGTTATTGCCATAACTCTTGGCAAGCCTGTGGTTGATAAACATACTTAATTGAAGAAAGAGGACATTAACTGAACTTACTAACTCAGACAGGGGCACTATGTTTCTTGCATATGATATCCTCTGTGTCTCCTTTATATGTACAGTGGTGCCTCGCAAGACGAGCGCTTCGTTTTATGATGAAATTGCATAACGACTAAGGTTTTGCTATCGCAAAAGTGATCGCAAAACAATGTTTCCTATGGGTTTTTTCACTTTGCGATGATCGGTTCCCTGCTTCGGGAACCGATTCTCGCAAAACGACGATTTTCCTACAGCTGATCGGTGGTTTCAAAATGGCCACTGGGTAAAAAAAATGGCCACCCGCTGTTTTCTGGGACGCATTCCTCGCTGCACGGGCAGTGAAAATTGCCCCGCTATGGAGGATCTTCGCTGGACGGTGAGTTTCAAGCCCATAGGAACACATTAATCGGGTTTTAATGCGTTTCTATGGGATTTTTAAAATCGCTTTATGGTGTTTTCATTCTACAGCGATTTCGCTGGAACGAATTAACATCGTAATGCGAGGCACCACTGTATTACAGAGGATACCAAATATTACTATGTAGTTTGAAAGTATTCATCTCATTTGTATTTTGGTAACTCATTGGCTAAAATCCAGTAGTAAGTCACAATTAGAGCAGGCTCATTGAATCAATGGGGATTTGGTGAGTTAATGCTGGTGAAAGTTCTGTTTGTTCAGTGGCTCTGTTCTAGTTGTGATTTGCTATTGTATTACAGCCATTGTCTAATACTGAATTCATTCAGTAGAATGTTCTGGCTCCACAGCGTGTTTTTTGTCAAGCAATCTTCTCAAGTCAACACAAGCTTAGAGGCAGACCATTTTTAGTAGCAGAGGCGAAACATATAGAGGCATAGGTATGCATTCATTCCTTTTTGTCCATTGTTTTTTCTCATTGAGCAGTTTTTTGCAATTTTGTTCTGACTTTTTTAAAAAGTACTGCACAAAACCTATGAAGAGAGGTGCCAGTGTGTTAAAAATATATGCTGAGCAGCAATGCCTTTATTATGTCACCTTCCAATCTCTGAAAATGCCACCTGTCTCCAACTAAAGGAAGCTTTCTAGCCTATCAGTAGGGGAGAGGCTAATCTTTTTTACTTACTGTCACACTAAGAACTTCCCTGATTGACTGAAGGGTGTAGGTAACTGATAAGTATACATAATGTGCTTAACCCACAAGTGATTGGGGCATTGTATACTAAATGGACTGTGTTTCCACTGTCTAATAATAAAGGTGCATTCATGTTTCTTTTCTTGTATATAATCCACCATGCTTTCCCTCAAGATTAGCTTCATTGTTGTGAGGAAATTGCATTCTGTGAGCATCAAACACTAGTATATTGTTGTCTAGGAAAAGGTGACCTTTCCAGTAGAGTGTATTTTCATTGTTGTTGGAGTCAATGTGTGAAATGGGTTTGCATACATACCATAAGCACCTGTTGCATTAGTTGAGAGTGATAAAATTCCATTCCAAGCGTCTGCATTATTCTCTGAAAAATATTGTTTATTTTAGTGCGTAAACGTTTTTGCACTTGGTCATTGTCCAGCTCCAGATGAAATTAACTATACTGTATGGAGTAATGAGCACTAGGAGGGTTACCTACATTTCCATCGCAACTTGGGGAGTTTTTTTCTCCCAGTTTAGCGTTCCATCCCTGCTTGCTGGGCACAGTGTTTTTCATTGTATTGGCAATGGACATTTTCCCTATAACAATGCCATCTACTCTCTGTAAGCAGGATGTTATGCCAGTGACATTGGAATGCCACTTTCAGAATTATTGTGCAAAGCCAAAAGCATTTCTGGGGTCATGCTTTCTCAATACCTAGTCAGTTCATAAAGTAAACTTTTTCTTTCCTTCAAGAGAAGGTTATCTCCTTTGTCAAATAAATGGCTCCATCAGAATTTTAAGTGCTCAAAAATTGTTGACCTGTGTAGAGGTTTCTCCGATATCTAAATTGTCTTTGCCTCTTGAATAATTGTAGATGTAAAGGGGGCTTGAAGTTACTAGGCACTGAGTTCATTCATGCTATTCTCTTGCTGTGTCAGTATGACAAGTTACATTCTGAACAAAGGACATGCAACATATGTTAAGTATTTAATTATTTGTTTGTTTAGTTGATACTAACAGGTTGTATTTTATTACAAACCAGTCTTTTGAAAATCTTTCTGTGGATTCTGGAGGATCACTGCATGAAAGGGATGATGTTCAAGGTATAGGTAAGCATTCTTATATCTACATTGATTTTGTTATTTTACACCTGTAGAGATTAAAGCTAGTAAAATTTGAAGATGCCTACAGATAACATGTTATTCTAATGAAAATATTCTGAAGGGTAAGTCTCTGGTATTTCAAAGTAGTTTGTTTGTGCCTAAAGTTCACAAAATCACTAAATATGCATATGGTAGTGATAGAATGAAGGTCATCTATTCAAAATGTTTTCTTCTATTAGGTCACTATGGAGGAAAATTTACTGGCTATATGATTCATTAAGATATAATTCTGTGACCCTTTAATTTGTTCAAAAAGCCCTGCCAGTTCTGTTTAATGTCAACCAGCATTAAAGAAAATCTCAAGATCAGAGCTGCTTTAGTCTTCACAGTTGGCTGATACTGGCTTTGCTGTCGCTGTGTGGCCATGTCTAAAATTTCCTTTTTTACATTTGACATTATATTTTCAGGACACCTTAGAGCTGAAGAAATTGATAGTGTTCTCCTAAGAAATGATAATGGAATTGAATCGGCTCTATCCTATGCTAAAGCATGGTCAAAATATACGAAGGACATAGTAGCATGGGTAGAGAAAAAGCTTAACTTGGGTGAGTGGTTCTTTCTGGCACCTAATGAGCTTTGTCATGATGGAATTAAATCTGTTGTCAGGATTGTGCTACAGACTGTCAGTAATGTGATTTCTAAATTAGTAGCTGTTCACTGAAATGAATGGAACCATAGCCTGTTTCCTGTAACCAAAAGATTGTAGCAAAATGTTCTCTGTCTTATTAAATGAAGAGTTCAAAGAAGATTTTATTTGCCCTTAGTAGTCATTCTTACTATGTGAACATCATATTTCTCTACAGAAATGGAGTGTGCTAAAAGCTTGGCAAAAATTGCAGAAACAACTAAGACTATTGTTGGACCCCAGGTGAGTGTCAATTAATAGAAATGTTCTAAAATGATTAAACACAGATATTACTTAGATGCTGAAAATAGAATGGAATCATGCTCTTTTATTTTATGAATTTCTTGAAGTTAACTGAAATTCTTACGAATGTGCTTTGTCATGTTATATTAAATGTTCCGATATATGAAAGTAACAAAATGTAGTCAATTTTGGTAGAAATCACAAAGTTTAGGGTTTTATAAAGTATTTGGTGTATTGAGTGACATGTACATTGCCATAATATCTTTTTAGTGAATCACATCTTATTAAGAGTAGGAACACTGGATAAGAAAATTATGTAACATTACAACTGAAATTCTCTGATATGGATCTATTTAAAACACTTGTTCACTAGGATTAGGTGGGGAGGGATATTTGAATTTGGATGAACAGTTTGTTAATCCAGAAATTTATTGTTATATATATTTTGTGTTTTAGGATTACATGCCATTTCAGTCAATATTCATAAATGCATTCCAAAATGACATAGAAAATAGTCAGCTTTGGCAGCAAACAGCAGCAGCTCTCCAAACTAATAAATTTGTTCAGGTAAAAAAAAAACCTTCAGAGAATTATTTCTGGATGTAGCCATAGGCAAATATGTTAAACCCACTGACATTTCCTTATATAGTCACTGTATTTCTCTTATTTAGCCACTCCTTGGAAGAAAAAGTGAATTGGATAAACAAAGGAAGGAGATCAAGGAGCTTTGGCAACGAGAACAAAAGAAAATGGTTGGTATCTTCATTTATTGTACATCTCGTGTAGTGATTAGAAATTGTAAACAGCTTGCAATGCAAACATTTTTGACAGTCTTTACAATCTACTGGGTTACCCAGTGTGTTGTAGTGAATTTCTCCTTAGCATAAAACTGTGGTTTCCTATACTTCCTATACTCCAATCCTAATATATCCTCAGATTTTTTATCCCAAATAAAAACCTTGGCATTAGAGAAATATAGCAACAAGACGACTGAAATCCTGTTGCTAAGAGTAATAAGTTATGCTAGAGTAGGTCCACTGTTAGTGTGAATTTAGTAAGGCAACTCTTCTGTAGGTTCCATTGTTTTAAATGGGCCAACTCTCATTGAAACTTATCACACTAAAGTAAGTTGCACCAAGAGTAGGGCCACCGGAATTAATGGAAATTGTGGAGGAGTGCCCTCACCAAATCCCCATTGATTCAGTAGGCCTACTCTAGTTGTGACTTACTATACTAAACAACAGGATTTTAGCCAATGTGTAATTAATACTGTTCACTATAACATGAAAATGCTAATATAACAATGTCTTCCCTTGGAATGAACAGCAAGAACTGGAAACTGTTGTAAGAAAAGCCAAGCTATTATATATTCAGAGACAAGATGAATATGAAAAGGCAAAATCATCAACTGTTTGTGCTGAGGAGGAGCATTTGACCTCCAATGGGGGTATTATTAAAGATGCCAGCAAATTAGAGAAGAAGAGAAAACTTGAAGAGGAAGCCCTTCAAAAAGTAAGTAAATCTCTTCCAATATGCTAGCATCAAAAATATGCTCTTCTTGCAGTTATTTGATGTGCAGGAACTGTTGCACATATGTTATAATGAGTCCTTTTATTACGGGCTTCCTAAGGTTGAGAGAGTTTTTGCTACTTTAATGGAAACATTTCGCACTGTCATTTATATTCACGTTTAATTTATTGTAGGCTGAAGAAGCTAATGAACATTTCAAAGCCAGTCTGGCAGAAGTTGAAGAAAAGCGAAATGATCTGGAAAATTTCAAAAGTGATATCTTGACGCAGCTCCGGGAACTTGTCTATCAATGTGACCTCACACTTAAAGCTGTAAGAAAGTGTGCTACAGTGTGGTCTAGACCAGGGGTTCCCAAACTTTTTCACCCCACGGACCGGCTGGGGAAGGCAGGGCACCCCCCGTGCTCGTGCACATGCATGAACAAGCGCATGCTCTCTCTTGCACAAATGAGAATGAGTTCGTGTGCATGCACAAATGGCAGTGTGGTGCCTGTGTGCGTGTGCTCTTGTGCGCATGTGCAAATGGCAGTGGGGAGGTTGTCTGGGCGTACTTGCGTGCATGCGCAAACGGTGGCACAGCACTCGCACGGACACGCTGGAGCACATGCGCATGCTCGAATCAACTGTGGGGGGGTGAGTGCACGTGGGGTGCGGGGTGGGAGGGCTTTCTCTGCGGACCGGTTTGACTCAGGCCACGGACCGGCACGGGGCTGCAGACCATGGGTTGGGGACCTCTAGTCTAGTCAAAACATAATGACTGTTTAATTAAGATAGAAATTCTAGAAGTGTGATGACTGACTTCATGATGTATTCTTCTATAAAGTCTTGCTACCAAATGTCATAGAAATGTATTAGAACAAGCATATTAGGCAGTTCCCACTGTGATGTTAATGGATCTTGAGTAAGCCATGCACATATGTATACTCTTCATCGAACCTTTCTGCTCCATTTCTTTTGTTTGGCGCTGACCATAGTATGAGATGGGTTTTGAATTGGTAAAATGGACGTAGTGTTTGCTCTTCAGTCCATGATCAAAAATCCACCTCAGAACATGGTTTTAGATTTGGTTATGGAAGGCAAGGCCCAAGAATAGGTTCCCAGTTGAGATGTCGTAATAACCTATGGTTTTGTGTTTTTTGTTTTGTTGTTTTTTTTTGTTGTTGTTTTTTTTTTTGCCATGTGAATAGAATCCAGGAAGCACTGTCCTTGTGCAGATTAAAAGGCAAACAGAAGTTTTTGCTTTTGTCTTTAAACTAACCACAACTTTCTGTTACATCTGAACTTGGAAACATGTTTTTTGTTTTTAAATTATGTCACATGAGATTATGTCATATCAAAACATGTTTTGTGGTCATTGCTTTTCCTCAGACTATAGTTTTAACAAGCCACTGTTCTCAGAGTTTGGACATTAAAGGAAATTGTGGTTAGTTTACAACTGAAGTAGATTTTTGTCTGATTTTGATGGAGGAAGACAAAGGGAAAACAATATAAGTCTGATACTTGCTGCAGGCCATTTACTTAGTGGATAATTATTTGTTCACCTTTGTCTGACCTAAGCTATTGAATATTTGAAACACACACTGTTAAAAACAATGGTGATGTCTCAGAAAGGGTTCTTGCTGCTTGTCTGTAATACAAAGAGCAGTATTAGCCAACCTTTTTAAAGACAGAGGCTTATTGATTGGCAAGATTAACGTTTTCAGACAGCTTTCATTGGCCAGAATCCTGTTACTAACCTTGGCCAGTGTAGGTGTGTTAGTATCAATCTCAGCTGGGGATTGCCACAAGCTAAGGAGATACTGTACCATGGATATTTGTTACCATACACTAGTTGCATCATTTGCAGCACAAAAAATGCTTATGCTGCCTTTTTAATTTGTGGCAATTCACAGGTCAGATTAATATTGGTGGACTTAATATTGGTATATGTTTTTGGTTGGATTCCAGATTATATATATATTTGGACTGCAGTGTTGTTCATTTGTTGATTTGCTTTTTTATATGCACTAATGCTAAGCAGAGAACCAGTGTGGAAATGCAAATGGTGTTTTACATTTATAAAAACATTGACTTAAAGTTACACCTATCCATAACTAAATTGTTCTTCTTCGTGGCCTCTGTGAATACACACATATGGGTTTAGTCTGCGCCTGCGCCAAAACTAACGCTTGTGAATTATTTGCCCAGCAAGTGCTCTAATCATAAATCCATTCTACTAATATGAAATGCTTTCACATTTTTAAGGCATCCTCCCATTCACCTCAATAGAGGTGTACACAAAAACACGCTTTTTCAGAGTATTGCTTGAGAAAAAAATTAGACAAGCAGCAAATGGCAATTGTGTAGTATGCTGGTCCACATTGCCTATTTAAATCTCGAAGGTTGTAGCTTCTAGACAAGTGGTTCCCAGCCTTAGGTCCCCAGATATTCTTGGACTAAAACTCCCAGAAGCCTTTACCACTAGCTGTGCTGGCCAGGATTTTTGACAGTTGTTATCCAAGAACAACTGGGGACCCAAGGTTGGTATCCACTCTTCTAGACCTACTAATATACAGTGGTGCCTCGACTTACAAACATCCCTACTTATGACCATTTCGAGTTACGACTAGCTCGAGCTGCAAAATTTTGCTTCGACCTACGGCTGGAGCTTCCACTTACAAACTGAAAAAAGCAGGGGGAAAAGGCAGGAAATTCAAATTTCTAACCATAGGTGGCAACGAGGCTGCTTCTTTGTAGCTTTCACCCAGACAGTTAGCGTGAGTGTGGTCAGAGGAGGCTAGGGACTGCCTGGCTTTTGCTTCTAAGTGAGTGTGTGTGTGTGTTTGCAGGGAGGCTTGCCTGGTAAGGTAAGCCGCTGTTTTCTGCTTTTTAAAAACTGTTCTGGGTGTTTTGGCAGCGTGGTTTTGGGCTGGGGAGGATTATGTTTCTGTGCTGTGATGAGTCTTGGGGTGTTTGTGGGGTTTTTTCCCATTTCTGATGGGTCTTGGGGGGTTTCCTTGCTTTTTGGATTTTTTCCCCATTTCCGATGGGTCTTGGGGAATTTGTTTGCTTTTTAGGGTTTTTTTCTGCCCATTTCCTATCTTGCACGATCTGCTTGATTGCTTTTTGCTTTGACTTGTTTACATTTCAAATGGGTCTTGCACGGTTCATTGGTTTTTGGTTTGTTTTCCTTGCATTAGGTCTTGCACCCTTGATTGCTTTTTGTTTTGTCTTGTTTGCATTTGCAGTGGGTCTTGCATGGTTGATTGCTTTTCTCCCCCCCCCCCCTTCGGCTGGAAGGGATTAATCATGTTTCTGACCGGTCTTGCAGTGATTTTTTGTGTGTGTGTGATTTTTTTTTCCTTTGGCTGGAATGGATTAATTGTATTTCAGTGCATTCCTATGGTGCTTCGACTTACAACCATTTCGAGTTATGACCATCTTCCTGAACGAATTAAGTTTGTAAGTCAAGGTACCACTGTATAGATAATTTTTACTTAAGTATTGCAATTTGTATCCACTTACTCATCTTTACATTTCTTCACTGAATATTCTCATGTTTCAGACTTTGGTAGTCTTGTTTGTATTCTAGCTGCTTAACCCAGTTCTTCTAGAAAATACTGGGTTAGATCCAAATCTGCTGTTCTATGAGGAAAGGGAACTTGGGCTTATTCAAAATGCTCACCTCCAAATTCTACCAATTTCTTCTTCCATTGAAGCTCTCCACTGTGCTAGAGAGTCCCCTAGCTGTTAAGAATGTTTTCAGAATCTTACAAGAGTACAGTAAGAGTTGAGAATAACCTGTTATGCAAACAGAATTCCATTTAATAATTCTTTAGAATTTAACCAATACCACCATACAGTTAGAACAAAACTCCTCCCCACAAAACATAGTCTAGTTTAAATATAAATATATGTCCTCCCAGTTCTTTCTCAAGACATGTATAGTATACTAACCAGTGTAGAAATTGATGTGTTTGTAATTAAACAAAGGTTGAGGAAATAGTATTAGAAAAAAAACTGTAGATATAATTGGCGATAACAGAGTCTAATTTGGTTCTGATCATCAGGAAAGAATTGTTGTAAATTATTTTTAAATGCTGGAGATGGAGAAAGAAATGTTTACAACATGAATCTCCAAATAATACTTTCCACACAGGCAACAGTTAACCTGTTCCAGATGCAGCATGCCCAAGTCGTGTCTCTACCAGTTAACTGTCAGTCCCTCTGTGAGAGTGCCAAGCTGTATGATCCAGGACAGAAATTTTCTGAGTTTGTGAAGAATTTGCCAAAATATGATGTTCCCATTGAACCTGGTTCCTTTGAAACACCGAGCTCCCAGGCTGGAGGGTGAGTGCTCAGATATGATCTTTGCTTCTTTGGCAGTAAATGTGAGCAAAGTGCGAATGGAATGTAGATAGTGGAAAATGAAAAAGAACTTGTCATTGTAATAAGTCAGGCATTGTTGAAGTATTGGTGGGATGCCCACTAAAAGGTGGGGAAATGGATGAAACCTAAACACAGGTGAGCTTGCACAGAGAAAAACAGAATTAAGTTTATTGTTGTTTTTAATTACTAGGAGGACACGGGGGATTGCTTTTATATTACTTTCTATGCAAGCTCACTGTTCTTTTACTCTCTAAAATTCATTATATGCAGGTGGTACATAAATAATACAAACAGGCCTGCAGCTGACGCTTTGGCTTCTTATTTTGAAGCAAGATATTAACTACATCTGCTCTTCCTGATGTGGAATAAACATGGATGCTTTTTCTCGTGTTTGTTTTTCCTTAAACCAGCATATTCATCAGCAATGATTTCTTAATACAATAGGGCCCCTGTATCCACAGGGGATTGGTTCCAAGTCCCCACTGGATGCCGAAAACCTGCAGATTATTGTGAATGCTTAGTATAAATAGTATGGTCTCTGGCTCCCTCTACTGGCCAGTGCTGGAAACACTTATTTCTGGGATTTTTCTTTTAATATTTTTAGTATTTTCAGGCCACAGATACTGTAAGTGCAACCACAGATACCGATCTGGCTGATACAGAGGTCCTACTGTATTCCATTTTCAATACTGGTATTTTCTCCACTCCCAGTATCAGTAGAGAGGGTCCTAATGTTTCTTCAAAACTTAATGACTGGCCAGAGATTGTAGTGCCCATCAATGCATTTGTCAGAAATGAGTTTCAATATAGAATGAATAGCGAAACAGTCATTTATCAGTTATTTCATGCAGATGAAGCACCATTAGTTCTCAGTCTGTAGGAAAGAGCCATCCAGCAATGGGTTGGTTCCTTTTTCTGTCCAGTCCCCAGCAGGAGGAATGAACTTAAAAGAGCATAACAGTCATGCTCCACAAGTTCCTCCCAGTTTTCTTCTCCTGCCTTTGCCCAAAATTGGCCTCACTTTTTGCTCTCTCCTCTTTCTGGTCTCTGATCTCTCTTCCTTGTTGATGCTATTTCTAATGTTCTCTTTTTCCAAATTTCTCATTTCTTCCTTATTTTCTCTCTTTTAAAAAAGTCATCACTTTCTCCTATATCCTTCTTAGCCTTCCTTGCTCTTGTTTTTCTGCCTTTATGCCTCATTGGGTAAATCTGGCAAGGTCTCCTCAAAATCCTTGTCCACTTAGCATGTCTGTATATCATCTCATCCCAGCTTTGTTGGGCATGGGCAGCAAATGCTTTGTTCTCTGGATCATCATGTCATTCCTGCGGTATGGCCTCCTGAGGTTTTGTATGGTTTAAGGTTGCCCACCCACCACCTTGATGAGTGTAGATAGAGGTGAATAGAAAACCAAGTTACGTACCGTATTTTTCGCACCATAAGACGCACTTTTTCCCCACAAAACAGGGGGGTGGAAAGTCTGTGCATCTTATGGAGCGAAGAAAACAGATTATATTTTCCTGTTTTCTTCTCCTAAAAAATTTGGTGCGTCTTATGGAAAGGTGCGTCTTATGGAGCGAAAAATACGGTAATTCCAGTAGAGGCATCAGAAGGGGAAACTGATATGTCAGAGGTTTGGGGCTGATCCTGAGAAGTCTTATCCCCACTAGCAGTGAGAAAAAGATTGAAGCCATCAACTCAGAGGAAGTAGATCAGCAGCAGCACAAAGGAGGTTTACAGGGGTTCTGAGGATGCCAAAGTTGGGTTTATTTAGTGCCAAAGCCCAGAATAGCAGTCATTTTCAAAGGACAAAGCCTGCTGTTCCTAGACACTCCACCAATAACCTCCAGAGGCTACCTCCGCAGCTCATAAGGCAACCCGAGGACAGCAGCCATTTTATGGTGCCACCCCACAGCAGCCATTTTCAACTGCCTTATTTCAAGCCTTGAATGCCTTCAGCAGTGTTTCAGATTCCCCTCTGTAATGAGTTTTTAGTTAACAAGATTAAAGCTGCGGTTTGGAGGGGAATTCAGGGCAAACTGCAACCATGTCAACCTTTTAAGAAAGCTCAAATGTATATATGCCCTCCTACAGTTACTGTTATAGCACCAACTATGAAAAAAAGAAGGATGCCAGTCTTCTAGCTACTTCTACTGGAGCACCTTCTCCTTTCCCAGCTTCCTCCTGGTAAGGTGGAAAGTGCTCCCACTTCATGGATAAAGGAGATGTGTCACCAGATATAGATATGGTTTGCCCGATCCAAGTAGTCAGGCAGGGGTCCAGGGAAATGGTCAGACTCTGCTCAGCAGGAAGAACCTGGCAGAGATGGTTTATTCAACTCTGATTATTTTCTCCCATTGTTATCGAAGGTACTAGCTACACTGGGGTTGCAGCACTCCAAAACCTCTGATCAAATGCCCACATATTCAGTGCCTGATAATTCACTTACTGGGGCATCTGTGTTCTCCAAGGCAAAAGCATCCTGTAGAGAGGTTCCCTTCTTAATATCTTTGGATAAATTGGTCAATGTGGAATGGGACATTCCGTGTCATGGTGAGAAAAGTATAGTACTCTTGCCCAGAGACGTTATTTCCTTGTAGGTGAGGAAGTGGAGAATTTAAAAACCTAGTGGTAGACATCCCTATTGGATCTATGCTCTCAAGGGCCTTGGCTCCCAAAGAAGGGAGTGCTCCTCTTAAGCAGCCCAGCAAAATAGTGATCTGACCTAGCCCTTTGCAAGGTCCAGGAGCCTTCAGCCTTATTAATTATAGCCTCTTCTAATTCTTTACTAATTGCAAGGCTTTATGTTTTGGATGGAGGATTTATTAAACCCCTCTGCCTTTGATGGCAATGTATTTCAAAGGTTCCTAAGTAATTATACAAGCCCCATGCCTATATTGCTGATTCTACTCAGGATTCCCTGACCTATTGCCAGATCTCTTGTTGTAACCACAGTAAGATTGCAGATCCCTTGGATCAAGCGCAGAAATGCAGATGCCTCTTCCAAATCCAATTTAGCTACACTTCCATACAAAAGGATCTCTCTTTTTGAGAAACAGCGCCCTCAGATATGTGCTGTTGGAGAACAAAGATGAGATGGTCATGCCAAATTTACTGAAAAAGGATGAAAAAGACAGACCAAAAGGAGTTTTCTCCTTTCATTACCCATAAGGATTTCCTGCCCAAAGGGCTTCTGTAAGCGGCAGCCCTTTGATAGATGTGTCATTCAACAAGTACCGTATTTTTCCATGTATAAAATGATACTTTTTCCTTTAAAAATTAGAGGGAAAAATTGAGGGTAGTTTTATACATGGAAGGGAGCAGGAGGAGGCGGAGACTGAAGCAAAGAAGCAGCCAGACTCAGCCGCCTCTCGTGGCTGCCCATTGACTGCTGCCGCCACTGGTCAATCACCCCCTCTAGCAATTGTCTCCTTGCAATCAGGCGGCGGTGGCAGCAGTGAGAGGCAGCTAAGTAAGGCTGCCCTTTGACTGCTGCCACTGCCGCCCAATCGCCCCCTCCAGCGATCGCCTTCTTGCGATCGGGCAGCGGCGGCGGCAGTCAGTGGGTAGCAGTGAGAGGCGGCCAAGCGGAGCTGCTTCTTTGCCTCAGTCTCCGCCTCCTGTTGCTGCTGCCTCCACCGCTGGTTGCAGGCTCAGTGATCTTGCAGCCCTTTGATCCCTGCTTTTCCTTCCTTTTGCTAAGCCCCACAGCTTAGCAAAAGGGAAAAGCAGGGATTGAATTTTCAAATTAGGGGTTAGAAAAGGGGGGTCGTCTTATACGTCGGGTCTTCTTATAAATAGAAAAATACGGTAGTTTCTCACTGAAGAGCCAGACTCCTCTCTGTAGACCTAGAACTTGCTTGAGTGGGTCCCATTCCTGGATGGCTCCTTCCTGCAGACTGAGAATGGAACATTGCCTTACCTCTGTGAAGGTCCATTCTTGTCTGCAGAGAAGGAGACATCCAGGCACACCCAGCTGGTGGCTGACTTCATCTCTGCCTTTTACTAACTTTCCTATCAAGCTCCTCCTTTCTCTGGCTAGGCTCGGGAAAGAAAACTGGGAAATGTTTGTGGAGTTGGACTGTTAGAAGAGCTTAAGTTCATTCCTTCTGCCTGGATTGGGCCAGGAAAGAAATTAATCCATTCCTGTATGTCTTCTTCTCTGCAAACCAGAATGAACCTTTACAGAGGTCCGCCAATATCTCAATCTCTGATACATCTTACTTTGCAGTTTTAGTGTTAATCATAGTTTTTCACAGTCACACATTGGTTGCATAGAATGTTTATACATATGGTCATTGCCTTAGAATTAAGCATTTAAGGCCGTGAAGAGAAAGATAAATATATTTTTATTTTCAAGTGAAATCTATGCTAGTTTACATTTCCGAATATTTTTTCCTCTTCTCCAGAGTTTTCAGTAAACGATCAAACAATATCCATGCATCACAAGGAAACTTATCTCAATGTTCGGGGGATTATCCCAGTCCATCTCTAGAAGATGTGGCAAGCCCAGCCTGTCACCGTTCCCAGAAAATTGGAGAAAAACGCTCTGCAAGTAGCACAGACATCTCTGGTAATATTTCAATAGGTTTCTAAATCTGTGTGTTTAAGTAGTCCTCTTTAGCAGACCACTACAGTACAGTGGTGCCTCGCTTAATGATTTTAATTGGTTCCAAAAATTCATTGCTAAGTGAAAATATTGCTAAGCGAAATGCGGTTTCCCATTGAAATGCATTGAAAATGGGATAATCCGTTCCAGTAGGAACGAATTGCCATCCTTAAGCGAAAATCACCATAGGAAACATTGCTAAGCAAAACGCAGTTCCCCAATTGAAATGCATTGAAACCTATTCAATGCATCTCAGTGGGAGAAAAAATGCAACAACAAATTAAAAAAGAATCAGAACAAAGTCTAATTTGGTTAACAGAGGGTTTATTAAGTGCGCTTTGTGATTTCAAACATTTTAAACAGTAAACTTTAACTTTATAACATTTAAAAAACAGCAAACATGAGGCTGTTTAAACCATCGTTAAGCGAAACAGGGAACCCAAAAATTTAATTGTTATGCAAAGCATGGTCCCAACATCGCTAAGCGAAAATCGCCCATAGGGACCATCGTTAAACATAATGCAAAAACACTCCGAAAAAGTCATCGCTAAGCGAATTCATCGTTAAACGAAGCGCTCGTTAAGCGAGACACCACTGTATACCAATACACAGATATGCCATGTGGCATATATTACCTATGATAACTTGATTATCAGATTATTAGCATTGGATACTTTAATGTTTTTCAGTTGTATCTTTGATAGTTGCCCCCTCACACAGAAGTATGATTGAAAGTTAGGTGACTTTGTTGCATTGCCTATAAATGAGACAAATGTCAAGTGTCAATGTACTGTATTGTTCTAAGTTTGTGCTTCAACAATTGACATCAGAACCTAGTAGTATTTTGTTTAACCTTTTGGGTTGATTTGTAAAAATCTATTGCTGGTTGTTAATCATATTCCTGCCTTGTGAGGTAGTTCTTTCTGCCACGACAATGTATTGAGTATAAAAGTCCATCAGTCCTCTGAGAAGATGTAGCAAAACTACAAGTCCTCAGAGGAACCATGCCAAAGACAGTAGCCCATGGAAACTTAGATAATGTGTAGTTGTTTTATTCACTTCCATACTCTCCAGTAAAGAAAGGTGTTTTTGATTTTAAAAAAAAGTAAAAACATGCCTAAACCATAAGATTGAGAGGAACCTCTTTGTGTCTGAAGAGGATCCTAAATAGTTAAATCCATACCACTTTTTTTTAAAGCTGTACGAGGTCCGCCACCATTCAGATCCTGGTCAGTTGGTAACCAAAGTGGAGGAATGTGCAGCGATTCTGAAAGTGCTGGAGGCAGCAGTGAATCACGATCTGTAGACTCTCCATCTGCAAGTCCAGGTACTAATATTAGTCTTCAAACACTTACTAGGGCCAAAATATAATGAGTATGAATAATGCTTGCATTGAAAGGGTTTTTTTAATTATTTGTTTTTTAAATATTAATTATTCTTGGCTCTTTGATAGGTGACTTTAAAAGAAGGCTTCCCCGAACCCCATCTACTGGTACAATGTCATCTGCAGATGATCTTGATGAAAGAGAACCACCCTCTCCTTCGGATTGTGGTAATGTACCTTGGAGTTCTAAGCTAAACTCTTCCGTTGTCATAAAAACTAGACATTGCTATGATATAAATATGAAGGTCCTTCTTTAATGTGATGGATGAGATAACTGGAATGTCTTCCTTATTGGATCAAAAAAGTAGATTATATTAAGCTGAGAGGATACACTATAGGAGGGACTTGAACTGTCTCCTGCAGTTTTGAAAAATTTAGGTATAGTTGCTCAGTCATGCTTAATGCATCTGCTAAACACCTGTTTGATAACACAGTGGAAAGAAATAAGCAGGTTTTTCTTCTGACTCAGGTGATGTTTTAACAGGAGACTTCAAAGCCCACAGTAGTATTTGAGCATGTAGAAATGCATGACTTAACCAAAATTCAAGTTTTCCAAAAACAGAAGTACAGACATGTGAGCTATTCTAGAAAATTACTAAATGATACAGTTGTTCCTGAGCCCCAAGGCTGCAGTCTTCCACATGCTTGCTCAGAATTATGCTCTCATATCTGGGCCTTTCTCCAAAGCATGTGAATGGAAAAGTACACAGTTCACATTTGGAGATAGAAGTAAGTGCCTGAGTATGTATACAGTATGTGGAAGTTATATGTATAGGTTTTTAAATGCTTCTGTTGGATGTTTTAAGCAGGTTTTAAGCACTGTGTCTGCAGGGTATAGATAGGGAAAAAATCAGTCCAGAACCCACTTAGGTCCTTTGAATAAGGGGCAACTCCACTTCAGATGAACCCTGCTTCAGTTTATATAAAAGGGACAGTTTTGCTTCTATTTTGGATGTTTCTTCTTGGACTACATGGCATGTGCTGCTGTTGATACAAAACAAAATATTTTGTGAACATGAAGTGTGGGTTCTAGAGCCAGAGTATCAGGAAAAAGATTACAGGTATATCAGTTAGCCTGACTCTTTTCTTCTTTCTGCAATAGCATAATCCTGTGAAGACTTTTGTTGAATACAGTGCTTTCCAGAGGGGTAGTCAAGTTAATGTGTTGCAGCTTTGTGGTTTTATAGTTTAAAAACTAGCATTTTTTAATAGTTTAAGCTTAATAAGTGCAGTAGATCACCTATTGAACAATATTCAGAGCTCTGAGAAGAACAAAAAGAGTTATGTGGTATCTTAAAGGTTAGCGGTGGTGGCGCTGCGGGCTAAACCGCAAAGCCTGTGCTGCAGGGTCAGAAGACCAAGCAGTCGTAAGATCGAATCCACATGACGGGGTGAGCACCTGTCACTTGTCCCGGCTCCCGCCAGCCTAGCGGTTCGAAAGCATGCAAATGCAAGTAGATAAATAGGGACCACCTCGGTGGGAAGGTAACAGCGTTCCGTGTCTAAGTCGCACTGGCCATGTGACCACAGAAGATTGTCTTCGGACAAAACGCTGGCTCTATGGCTTGGAAATGGGGATGAGCACCGCCCCCTAGAGTCAAACACGACTGAACAAAAAAATTGTCAAGGGGAACCTTTAAAGGTTAGCAAATTCATCATGGCGTAAGTTTACAATTGCTAGAGCCCAAATGTTTAAAAATTCTTAAGACATACCCATAGTTGCATTCATGCCTCATTTTCATTTGGAACTATGTGTGTGTGTAACTACAGTTGCAGATAATTACTCCATTTCCCATATGAAGTTAATTACAGTATGTAAAAGCTTATACAACAATAAATGTGTTAGTAAGTGTCACAAATCCACGTAGCCCCTGATTGTTTCACCAAACAAAGAGCTCACGTTACGTGAGCTGCCACCAGTTGATTTCATCAACAATACCTATTATTAATAATAGATGTCCAGGCCATATGCCATTTAAAAGAACCAACTAGAAATTATACAGGTGTTGACAGAACAATGTTAACTCTTAAACAAACATTCTTCTTTATCCACCATCAACCACCATTCTCCTGCCCAAACTCCAAAACTCTCTCAACACTCTAACACTCAAATTCTTCATCTCCAAACCCTACCTAAACCTTATCTAAACTCCTACTACTACTACTGAGTCTCTCATACCTCGTGACTCCGCCCCTCCAGCACTCCCATTGGTCTATGCAAATATGTCCAATTTATGACAACTTAATTTCTTGCTGAGATTTTCTCAGAGCTAATGGTAGAACTTTGTGTTTAAAGGTTTAAATGATCTAGCATCTGAAATTACTAGTTCACCTGGACCTTTCCGAAATACTGTTCTGTCCAAGGCAGCACAAACACACAAACTGCGGAAGCTGAGGGCTCCATCAAAATGTAGAGAATGTGATAGTCTGGTGGTATTCCATGGAGCAGAATGTGAAGAGGTAAGAAATATTTTGCTTTGACACTGCAGTCAAGCTGTGTGAGGAACAGTAAAAGCAAAAGCATGCTGCTTATATACCGCCCCATAGTGCTTCAAGCACTCTCTGGGCGGTTTACAAGTTAATTATGCAGACTACACATTGCCCCCCCAGCAAGCTCGGTACTCATTTTACCAACCTCGGAAAGATAGAAGGCTGAGTCAACCTTGAGCCGGCTACCCGGGATTGAACCCCAGGTCGTGAGCACAGTTTTGGCTGCAGTACAGCTGTTTGACCACTGTGCCACAAGGCTCTTGGTTTAAAACTTGTGCCACTGTGATATACTTTGAAGGTGAGAGGTAACTACTAGATAAGGAGACCCACCAGATAGGGTGATGCTGATTTGCCTCTCAGTTGTTCTGATAATAACTCTTTCCCCTACCTGCTCCCCATTGCAGTAGAAGCCCCCCCCCAAATAGCATACTTCTCCTGGGAATAATTGAGATCAACATCCAAACCATATGTTAGAAAGGAGATCCATAGCTAGAGATCATGAATGTTTTTCATTCAAACGCAGGAGTTGCCATTTAATCACTGTAGAGAGATTTGCACTTTATGGAGATAATACTGTGTAGGCAATATTTCATTACTTCATTTATGAAATAAAAGATAATACAGTATTGGAAACTGGTGGCGTACATCTTCTCTATACAGTGATGCCTCGCTTAGCGATCGTTCCGTTGAGCGACGAAATCGCTTAATGACTGACTTTTTGCAATCGCAAAAGCGATCGCTTTGCGATGGTCCCTATGGGGTTTTTTCGCTTTGCGATGATCGCGGGGAAGCGATCATGGCAAAGCGATCCTTTTTTAACAGTTTATCGCGGTTTCAAAATGGCCGCCGGGAAAACAAAATGGCCACCCATTGTTTTTCCTCGCTTAAGAGGCAGCGAAAATGGTGGCGCTATGGAGGATTTTCGCTTTAAGGTGAGTTTTTAAGCCCATAGGAACCCATTAATTGTGTTTTAATTTCGCTTAGCGATGTTATCGCTTAGCAACGTTTTTTCCAGGATGGATTAACGTCGCTAAGCGAGGCACCACTGTATATCTTTACCCCTTTGGCAGGTGAGCACAGTTGGACCCTTTTCTCACTGCAGTAACTAATGAAGCCTTGGCAGAGAGCCTGAAGCCCTTGTCTTGGACGAGATGTTGTTCCACTGCGCAATCAGTACAAAAGATTTGAATGGCTACCTTTCCTATAGTTGCTGTATTAGAGCAGATTACAGTGGGGTCTCTACTTAAGAACTTAATCTGTATTGGAAGGCGGTTCTCAAGTCGAAAAGTTCTTATGTCGAATCTGCATTTCCCATAAGAGTGCATTGAAAACCATTTAATCCGTATCTGCTCTTTTCCGTCCATAGAAACTACAGTGGAACCTCTACTTAAGAACTTGATCCGTATTGGAATGGTGTTCTTAAGTTGAAATGTTCTTAAGTTGAAGCAAAATTTCCCATAGGAATGCATTGAAAACTGATTAATCCGTTCCGGCTGTTTTTTGTCCTTATGTACAGGCACGTTTGTACGCTGAAGCGTTAGTTCCCATAGGAACTAATGCAAAGCCGGTTAATCCGTAATCTACCACTAGGGGGAGAAATTTTTTTTAATCTAAGAGATCTGCCTAAAATGACCTAAGGTTAAAAAAAGGGCAGGAAAGTTTTTTTTCCCTGTTCTTATCTTGGAGCTCCGTTCTCAAGTAGAAGCAAAATTTAGTGAACGGAGCTGTTCTTAAGTTGGATTGTTCTTAAGTAGGGACGTTCTTAAGTAGAGGTTCCACTGTAATCTGATCATATGAATGCTAAGTATTATGATCAGATTTATAAAACTTGCTCTCTTTTTAAAACTTACTTTCAATGGTTCCTCCTTTCTACTTTCCTTCTAGTGTTCACTCGCCTGTCACAAGAAATGTCTGGAGACTTTAGCTATTCAGTGTGGGCACAAAAAGCTTCATGGAAGGCTTCATCTATTTGGAGTTGAATTTAGTCAAGCTGCCAAAAATAGCCCTGATGGAATTCCGTTCATCATAAAGAAATGTACCTCTGAAATTGAAAGCAGAGCCCTAAATGTGAAGGTGAAGATTTCACAAATATTCAGTCTCAGAACTTCTCTGTCTCAAATCCATTTTTGGATTTTCAGTTAATTATTATTTTCTTTCTATTTAAGGGTATATACCGTGTGAATGGAGCAAAATCAAGAGTAGAAAAACTTTGTCAAGCATTTGAAAATGGAAAGGACTTGGTGGAATTATCTGACCTCTATGCCCATGATATAAGCAATGTCCTTAAATTATATCTTCGCCAGGTAAATATGCCTAATCTTTTTGGTTCAGATATGCATCTGGCACATCTTTGCTGTCTTATTCTAAACTGAAAGAGTGGGAGAGGATCAAGGAATATGCTTTAAATCATTAGATTTTAAAATCTTTGTCCAAAACAATTGCTTTATTCCTCACTTGTGGAGAGGAAAGTGGTCTGGGCAAGTCCTGATTGGTTAGCCTTATCCTTATTTGTACTTAAATAGTTGATCACCTACCTGCCTTACCATAAAATTATAATTTGGCAATTTAAATTACACAAAATAGCAAATAATAGCGTAAATCCATTAGTAAGTTGCAACTTGAATAGGCCCAGTGGGGGTCATTCCTCTGTACATTCAGTTAAATTCAGCCAGCCTACTCTAGTTGCAAGTTATTATTAGATGTCATGTGATCTGCAGTGATCTAATAGGAAAACAATTATATATAACTAATCTGTATCATAATTTTTCTTCCTATAATTAGAAAAAAGATTGTTGCAAGGTTAAGATTCAGCTGTTTCTTGTGCTTGTTATCTCACTAATGCTTAGTAAATGTGACAAATGTTATACCTCATTTATCCATTCTTTATACATGATTTTAAGTACCTTTCAGTACTTTGCTATTATAAACCTTAGAACTATGAATAAATGTGATATCAAAGAGTTGTGTGTTGAACAGTACATTGAAATAATTCTAAAAATGTTCAAAATAATTAGTCATAACTGAATATTCATTTGCTAGCTCTTTCAACTAATTTTCAAAGCCACTGAATAATTAGATATGCCCACCTCATGTGATAGAAGTCTTCATTTCTAGTATATAGAGTTTGTGTTGTAAATTCTATCTAACTTCCTAATTGGATATAAAGCAACAATTAAATCAATTTGAATTAGTTCTACTAAGATTGACAAAAATTGTATTCTCCACTCCTTCCAATAAATCAGTGTTCTCCAACCTTGGGCCTCCAGATGTTGTTGGACATCAGCTCCCAGAAATCCTGGCCAGCAGAACAGGTGGTGAAGGATTCTGGGAGGTGTAGTCCAAGAACATCTGGAGGCCCAAGGTTGGGGACCACTACAATAAATAACAGTCTCTACTCTGATTGTTGGTCCCATTTTTACCCATCAAAATTTGTGATTTCCAAAGGAAGGAGAAGAAGATCTTGGTTTGGAGCAAGAGCATATGGTTGAAGTTGCACACCAACTATATTAAGGAAATCAAGACCACAGATAAACACCCTTACCTCACACTCAGAACATGGGGCACATTGATACCTTTTTTGAATCTTATATTCCACTGTAAGTAAAAATGAGAGATGAGATTCACCCTAAAGAGGGATTTGTTCTATGCTTACTTAGCACAGACCCCACTGAACCAAAGATTTTCCTACACCAAATAAAGATTGGTTGGAATGCACTGGAAAGGTGATCTAATGGTAGATAGGACACTGCCAGCCTGCTATTTGTAAATTTTGACACTATCAAGATACCTTCTTCTGCATTTCACCTCTCCCATATCATTAATTATGTTCTGTATATGGAATGGGGTGACTAATGGAATTACGCTACAGTGCTTAGGGTGGCAGTAAATAATATATAATATCATCCTCATCTTAGAGCTGGAAGGACCCCGTGGATCACTGAGTCCAGTTCCACTTAAGGAGGCACACTGGGAATCAAACTCTCACTCTCTGGTTCCATAGCCAGATACCTGAACCACTGAGTTGCCCAGTAGTCAGAAGAAGAGTGTCTCCCTGTGTTTGAGTGAGGATGGGGGGTTGATATGTGGTTTTGATTTCTAAAATATTTTGAGGTGCCATCTCAGCAGTATCTTTTTGCTAAAAACCTAAGGATTTCCCCCCCTCCGTTTTAGGAATGTCTGTTTTAAATTGTGAGGATACAGAGATGTTGATATTCGACTAGAGGTCTTTAGATCAGAGAATTAAAGCCAGCATATAAATAAACAATACAGCAAGAAAGCACCTTGGAGTCACTGGCTTCTCTGAAACCGTTAGATCTCTGAGAAGACTAAAGATCAGTTGTTGTCATATTCACCTACCTTCCTCACACAGATGGGGTATGGAAAACAGAGCCTTACTTTTAAATGTTCACTTTAGTGCTCCAAAGAGTTGAATCTTCAAAAAAACTACACCCACTCATAAAGGAGTAGGAGTTGTCATTTAAGCTTTTGCTTTAAATAAAAGGTGTTGCATACTACAGAATGTTGCTCACAGTTTATGTGCTGCTCAGAGTTTTAACTCACAAATAGGAGAAAAGAAAATCTTCTTGCTTGTGGTTTTGTAAATTGAACCAGATAGTGTTAAGCAAATTTATCTGTGACCTTTAATAAAATGCTTGGTACTTAGTAAATATTTGGGGTGTTCTCTTTCAGACACAATTCAAATCGAAAAGTATTATTTCATATCTTAGCTGCTTACTTCGTTTATTTCCCACCTTTTTCCCAGGGAAGCGATCCAAGGTGGTGTGCAACAGGTGCAAAAAATACATGTTTTAAAGTGCTATAGATTAATGTATTAAGAGTAAAATATTAACACAGCTGGCTGGATAGCTCAGTTGTTTAGGTATCTAGCTGCAGAGTCAGTGGTTGTGAATTTAGTTCCCCACTGTGCATTTCAGAAAGGCCTATGAATAGAGTCAGCCTGTATGGCCTTGGGGAAGCTGCACAGTCCCAGGGCACCCCCAAATGAAGGGAATGGTAAACCACTTCTGAGCACTCTACTTGAGACACCATGAAAAGGGTTGGCGTAAGTCAGAATTAACTTGATCACACATGATTATCATTATTTAAATATGATTAAACCTAAACAGTATTAAAACATCATTAATTAGAACAAATTTTAAAACAAATTTAAAACATCTGATAAAATATTCTTCATCTCTAAAAACTACAGTCCAATTTTACTTAATGCAACACATAACGTTCTATGACAAAGCCTCTTAGAACTCACTTCTTTACAATCATTAACACTTCTTATTGTAGTATAATCAGAAAGAGATGTAATCAGCCGCAATAGAGATTTCCACAGTTCATATGATTCATAAATCCATTGTTTATAAAATGTTTTCCAAATATTTACAAAGGCACTTATGGTTTGTGTTTGACAAGCCTCAAGCTCCTGATAAACCTTGTAGCAATATTTCCTGTTTCACAATCTTTCTTCAGAAACAAATTCTCAGTGCTTAAACCTTCCCATTGGAACAATAATACAAGCACAATGCCGTAATTTGGAAAACAGTTTGAAAACTCTTCCAAACCTGAGCCCCACAGTTTTTTCTGAAACTTCCCTGTCCTTTGGATTCTCAGGGTAGGCTCCTCCTGAAATTCTCAAGTCATCTATCTCCATGGGGGATTCTGAGGGTGGTGCTGATAGTGCTCTTTCCTGTCATGTCATTATCTGTCAAGGGTAAGGTGGCCATGGAGAACTCATGCAGGAGTTGACAGGAGTGGAAGGCATGGTGGTCAGCCTGATACTGGGTTCCCTTGGGAGTCTCCCACACACGTTAAGGGTACAAAAGGGCCTTGACATTCCAAGTAATTCCTACCAATCCCCACACGCTGATTTCTAGATATTTGGAGAAGGAAAGAACCAAATCCTATGTTGACAATAATATTAGGATATAGGGGCAGCAAGCTATCTCAATCACACTGAGATTTCAGGAAATGGAGAGTGATGAGTGTCCTTTGATAGGCTTCCTCTCTGTTCTTTTCCCTGAAGCAAAGGTCCTATTTCAGCAGTGTGGCAGTATGACTATAATGGTTGAAGAGCTGATATATTAGTCATCAAAACTACGAGATTTCCCTTTCATTTTCCTCCTTTTATATGAAAAATTGACAGTGATGATTAATCAGTTCACATTTTAGTGAACATGTAGCTTTGCAACAGTTTTGGAGATTAGGATGAAGATGACAGCCCCCAAGGTCACCCTCTCAGTTGAATGTGAAGCTGAAGTTAAGTCTCCCTAAAAGCCAATGCCTTTCAACTTTTCAGACTCACTGTAGTTTAAGTGGTTAATAGTTAACCACTGTCCCATTTGAAAATGAAATGAAGTTGGATGGAGGGTTTTTTCAAGGTTAAAAGGTTATATTTGGCATTGTAAACATAACAGTAATATCATTACCAATAGGGATTCTGTTTCTGATCTTTGTTTATATATCATGTTTATGCACCATTTGAAGAACATCTACAATTCTTAAGCACTGGTTTCTTCCCCCCCCCCATGAATACTGTGTTGCTTGCTTGCTGTATGCTGTTTATGAAGTGGCTGAATGGGATCAGTAAATATCAAGTCCAGAAGCTGGCCAGAAAAGAAGAGGAACTAGACTAGACAAGAGGACATAAACTTAAATTGACTAAAATTGCAGACTGAAATTTCTGTTGTTCTTTCCTCCAGCTCCCTGAACCTTTGATTTTATTTCGGCTTTACAATGAATTCATTGGACTTGCAAAGGAGAGTCAGAATATTAATGAGGAATTGCATATGAAACAGATGAGTCCCAGATCAAAGAAAAGGCAGTCAGTATGTATTGAACTGAATAGAATCATTCTCAAAATCAAAGATCTTCTGAAACTGCTGCCAGCACCAAACTATAACACTCTCCAGTTTCTTTTAGGTCATCTTCACAGGTAAGAGAACTTCTGTGAGTTTAGACATACATTCAGAAATATGCTTTGAATGTTTATTTAAAAATAGTACATGTCTTTGTAGATCTTATAATGAGCGACTATGAGATATGAATGCCTTGAGGACCTGCCTCTTCTTTGTTATATTCAGCCATATTAATTTCAACATTCACGTGAATTTTTATTTCAGTTGATGATGCTGTATTTCGTTTGTAATAGGCTGGAACGTTCAAATTGGCTCCGTTTTTTGCTGTTCCTTTCTGTAGGGTTACTGAAGAATCTGATGAAAATAAAATGTCTGCTAGCAACCTTGGCATTATATTTGGCCCAACCCTGATCAGGCCACGTCAGACAGATGCAACACTTTCTCTCTCTTCACTTGTGGATTATCCGTATCAAGCCCGAATAGTGGAGCTCCTCATTACCTACTATGAAAAGATTTTTGACATTTCAGTACAGCCTGTGTCTACTACCACTCAATCAGATGAAAATACTTCTTGTGTCCAAAGAGTTTTATTAGCTGAAGATAGAGAATGTTATCAGCAGAGAAAAGCAGTGCCCTGCATTGCTGTGAAAGAAGTGAGTACCTGTTGAGAAAAAATGTTTTGCATTTTATTTATACTGTTTAACCCAGTTTTTAAAACACTGCTTTATTTCTAATGTTATTGCTATTGACAGAATGTTCCATTAATCCAGAATGAGAAGAAAAATTCAGAAACACTCACGTCACTGGATGAAACAGATGGCAATAAAGGCATCCAGAGAAATTCTGATATTCTAGTGACAGGTTAGTTTGCATGTTTAATACATTGCCAGAGTGGTATATAAATACAACATAATTCCTATTTATGCACCAGAATACACTATTTCAGGGTCTCAGTCACTTTTTCTTTTTGGACAATTCACATAGAACTATACTTGAAGGTCAGGCATTCTTCGGCATTTTCACCTGCAGAATTGAACAAAGGATCTCCCAGGTTTCAGCCATTTTCCTTGTGCAGCTTTTTGACAGATATATACCAAGTGGGACAAAAATTGTCGCATCTGATTTGTTGCTTTATGCCATTTTGGCCCTTTTTTGTCAAAGCCAATGTAATACATTGGAATTGTAAAGTCCCATGTTGTTGTTTTTTGTGTGTGATGTCAACAAATGGAAAGTTACGTGCACCCTGACTGCCAGTAAGTTGGCCTTATCCATAAGAGACATGAGAGATTTTTACAGATGTATTTGATACAAGGAGTGTACATTAAACCAAATACTGCTACCCCTACTGCTGTCATTACAGTGGAATTCTAGTGATACAGAACATACCACAGAACTCATTGCAATTAAATCATCAGCATCATCAGCATCATCCTGGTGTAGAAAGGCTAAATGAGCAGGTAGTGATGCTTTCTGTACAACCTACAGAGCATCACTATTATGCCTCAAGCCTGGACTGACCATCAGACAGAGCTTTTCTGTTGAGATTTGATTATTATATAGAATTCTTTTAATTCTTTCTCAGAATGCAATTATGAACTTGGAGCAAAACAGACCATTTGCAGGAAAAATTCTCCTGAGCCTCCATCTTTCTCACTTTCAGAAAACCACATTCAACCTACAAAAGAACAAGGTCAGTTTCCTTAATTACAAGCATGGGTTTCTAGGCCAGCTTCTATGGGTCATATTTATGTAAAAAAATCCCTGCTGCTACAGATATAGGCCTAAATCCATCATTATGCTTTTAACTCTTCTGTCTACAGACCTCTGTGCTCCCCTCCAAACGGTCCCAGGGAGCTCTTCAGCCTTCTGGAGAAGTTTGGGGGGGGGGTATGTCCAAGAGCTACAATCAGAAGGGGAGAGTGCTCCCTCCCTGATTGCATCAACTGAGGCTGTTCCTTCAGTGGATGTTGTCTTTTGGATTTAGGCCATTGTTCTCTGATATATTTTTAATCAGAGAACTGCCTAACTCTTGTACTTCAGTGAATCCATAATTTATTATCTAAACAATGGTATTGAGTAGCTATTTTTTTCAGACCATTTGCAGGAAAAATTCTCCTGAGCCTCCATCTTTCTCACTTTCAGAAAACCACATTCAACCTACAAAAGAACAAGGTCAGTTTCCTTAATTACAAGCATGGGTTTCTAGGCCAGCTTCTATGGGTCATATTTATGTAAAAAAATCCCTGCTGCTACAGATATAGGCCTAAATCCATCATTATGCTTTTAACTCTTCTGTCTACAGACCTCTGTGCTCCCCTCCAAACTGTCCCAGGGAGCTCTTCAGCCTTCTGGAGAAGTTTGGGGGGGGGGTATGTCCAAGAGCTACAATCAGAAGGGGAGAGTGCTCCCTCCCTGATTGCATCAACTGAGGCTGTTCCTTCAGTGGATGTTGTCTTTTGGATTTAGGCCATTGTTCTCTGATATATTTTTAATCAGAGAACTGCCTAACTCTTGTACTTCAGTGAATCCATAATTTATTATCTAAACAATGGTATTGAGTAGCTATTTTTTTGTTTTCCATATAGATAGCTAGTTATTGAGAACCTTTCTGAGTAATGTGCAAATCAGCAATGCCTGTAGTCCTACACTGATAAACATTTGTCAAGTACAATCTTTTCCCCACTTCCACTTTATTGTATGTGTCTAAAATATATATAACTGTGTACATGAACAAAAGTAGCTCAGTGATCACAGTCTGTTTGTAGTTGCTTCAAGCAGTGCAGTATTTTTACAGCTGCCAGCCAGAGATGTTTGTGTTCTTTTCTTAGTCTTTCCCTTTGTCTGTACAAGGCTTCCTTTCCCAGAAAAGGCATCTCATTCTTCCTTGGCTGATTTATTGTAGGTATTGCACGGTCACTCATCACGGTCATGAAGTGGATAGGCATGTCCAAAGTGCTTGAATGGTTGCATTCTTTTTTCAAAGTTTAGGACCATTACAATTACAGCTCCCTCATGATTGATACTGGAGTATCAAGCTAAACTGGAAAGACACCAGTCCCAACCTAGCACAGAAAATTGGATGGTACAGCCAGTCATCTAAACAGCTTTACTTGAGATCATTCTGCAGGTTCTTGGCCTGCTTTTGAACTAAAACAGCATATGATTCTGAGCATGCCACTATCTGCTGCATTAAAGCAGTGTGCCATAGTGTTGTTGGTTTTTTGTTTTTGACCCAGCTGTTCTTTACACAACAGAACTCATTTGACAAGTCAAATGTCATACTTAGAAGGATGTCTACAGAATTTTTTACTCTTGTAACATATTGAGGAGGAAGGTGTATCGTACTAAATAGAACTAAGCAGGCAGAATGATTCCATTGTAGGAAGCAGTTCAACAAGAGGTCTCTAAGGCTTTCCATTGCATATCTGCCATAAGGCAATAGGATTGTCAAGAAGTAATGTTATTCTCAATGTAATAAACATTTAAAATAAGTGTCTTAAGCTTTTTTCTGCATATATATTCATGTGTAGTAGTAAATCACTGATACCCAGTGTGGTGTAGTGGATAAACAGAGTGACAAACTAAGGAGACCCAGTCTCAGATCCCTTCTTGACAATCCTAACTATATGCCATCAAGTTGAACTTATTTTGTTGTTGTTTAGTCCTTGAGTCATGACCGACTCTTTGTGACCCCATGGACCAGAGCACGCCAGGCCCACCTGCTTCCACTGCCTCCCGGGGTTTGGTCAAATTCATGTTGGTAGCTTCAATGACACTGTCCAACCATCTCGTCCTCTGTCGTCCCCTTCTCTTCTTGCCTTCACATTTTCTCAACATCAGGGTCTTTTCCAGGGAGTCTTCTCTTCTCGTGAGATGGCCAAGGTATTGGAGCCTCCGCTTCAGGATCTGTCCTTCTAGTGAGCACTCAGGGTTGATTTCCGTCAGAACAGATAGATTTGTTTTCCTTGCAGTCCAGGGGACTCTTAAGAATCTTCTCCAGCACCACAATACAAAGCTTCGATTCTTCGGCAGTCAGACTTCTTTATGGTCCAGCTCTCACTTCCATACATTGCTACTGGAAAAACCATAGCTTTGACTATAAGGACCTTTGTCGGCAAGGTGATGTCTCTGCTTTTTAAGATGCTGTCAAGGTCTGTCATCGCTTTCCTCCCCAGAAGCAGGCATCTTTTAATTTCGTGGCTGCTGTCTCTATCTGCAGTGATCATGGAGCCCAAGAAAGTAAAATCTGTCACTGCCTCCATATCTTCCCCTTCTGTTTGCCAGGAGATGATGGGACCAGTGGCCATGATCTAGTTTTTTATATCACGCTTCAGACCATTTTTTGCACTTCCCTCTTTCAGTTTCATTAAGAGGTTCTTTAATTCCTCCTCACTTTCTGCTATCAGAGTGGTATCATCTGCATATCGGAGGTTGTTGAAATTTCTTACGGCAATCTTAATTCCAGTTTGGGAATCATCCAATCCTGCCTTTCACATGAGGTATTCTACATATAAATTAAATAAGCAGGGAGACAATATACGGCCTTGTCATACTCCTTTCCAAATTTTGAACCAATCAGTTGTTCCATATCCAG